GAGCTGTGACCTCCAGGCCACGTTTTTGTCCAGCCCAAGGTTGATTCTGCAGAGAGTGGAGCAGAAATAGATTTAGGGCTGCTATAATCAGAATTTACTGGTGTTTTCAGGCCTCAGGAGTGACTTGAGAAAATAAGAACTAGATGGAAGATCAGAGAGATGTAGACAACCATCAATTGCCCTTAAATTTCCATTTGATGGTGACTGGGTCACTCATTCTTCCAACTATCCTATATCAGTTCCCAAAAATGCCCAGCTCAGCTCAACACATGAGGTTCCAGGTTTCCATGGAAGCCTGGAATTTTGAACAGCAAATACATAGGAGGGGACCCTGTGGCATCTGCCTAGATTTGCTTTTCTGAGATCACCCACCCACAACCCTTGGAAGGTTGTCAAAACTGAGAGCTGGGCCCTCACTGGGAAGTGTTGTTGGTTCCAGAAAAGTGTCTTCCTCCTATTTAGGCCAGTTTTGAGAGTTTTGGTGTGAGGACTGCATGAGGCCAAGATCCCAAGCCCTGTGTTCACACAAGGTGACACTGAAGGGCCTTCTATCTCCAGATCCCGTGGTGTGGATGCCTGGGGCCTCAGTTGCACCATTAGTCTGGGTCAGGGTCTTCTTTGTAAGCAATGCCTCCGTCACTCTTTCCAGATCCTCTGTGCCTTCAAATCTTTATCTCAGAGTCTACGTCCAAGGAACCCAAAGTAAGATGGCCAGCCGTCTACAAAATGAGCCACTGTAGACCTAAGGTGCCCACTATACAGTGAGATTCTCCAGCAAATTTCCTGAATTTCTACTGTGTACATCCAAATGCCCAACTCTGAGTATTCCTCGTATTCTTATAAAATCAAAAGGGAGCCTGACATGCCAGGTGCTCCAAGTCCTGAAGGAGAGGTGGAGTCAGATCCTCCTGCAATAAATCCATGGGAAGGAGAGCAGCCTGACCCCACGCAGGGTCCAGAGATGCACCCACAGGTGGAGCTGCAGGATGGACGGCGCCCTCCTCCACCCTCCACATCCTGCACAGACCATCACTCTTTTCACCCCTCCTTCAGATGATCAAAGCTCGCACTGACCAAGACACCACAGCTCAGCCTTGTCAATCGGACGCCTTCAAGTCTCCATCAGCCACAGAATCTCAACATAAAGAGTCTCCCAAAATAATAACAGTAACAGTAGATATAAAAAGTCTATAAAATACTTCATAAGTGATTTTAGATTGTGTGCATGTGTAAATTATTATTCATGCTTTGGGTTAAATAAATTACTGAACCTAGTTTACATTTTTAAAATCTCTAACATGGTGAGTAGACGGTAGGATTCACATGTGGCTCTCATCACATCGTGACTGCACAGTGCTGCTCTGGTCTTACCCCTTCAGGTGGCAGGTGCCGTGGAGTAACCTGCTTCAGCAAGCCCCATGTCCACCCATAGGACACATGTGTGAAGCCAGGGAGAGGCGCTGCTGGAAGAGAAATGAGAACACGAGTGTGGACCAGCTGTTTCTGCAGGTGACTGAGTCCTGGAGCCCTGACCCTGCTCTACCCTAGATGTGTCACATCCATCTCACCAGAGGTCACTGCTGGCCTCCCTGAGCTCACAACTGGGGGGATCTGACAGTTCTGGCAACATGGTCACTTGATGTCCAGCGTAATCATGTATCTCCCAGGGCCCAGTAAGACAAAAGGAGCTGTTTTTCCAAAGGGAAATAATAGTCTACTGCCCCGGACATGGACTTCTTCCAAAACCCCATGAGTCTACACTGGGATCCTCCAGTGGGGTTTGCCACGTCCAGAAGGTTTCAGTTCCCATGGTACAGTCTGCTGGATTCTCTGGCCTCAACAGCAGGACACTCCCAACCCTGCCTGCACCTGCTGCACAGCCTCCCTGCTCTGAGCCCAAAAAACAGCGGGTGACATTTATGGCTCCTGATATACATGTTGGAGCCACATCCCAAGTGTAAAATATGCTACTCCTAGACCTGTATAGACCGTGTGTCTCTTTCTTCCTTGGGAAAATTGAAGGATCTGATAACATGTTCTTCATTTTGTAGGAGATTCTCAGCTGCTCCAGACAACGAAACTCCCAATTTCAGCTAATATGGAGGAGGAAACGTCTTAGTTTATTTCCCATTCTCAGAACTGCATGGATCTCACAAAAGCTTCCAATAGACCGTCCCCATCATGTACATATGATTCAACTATGATGTCCAGATGGTCCGAGCCCCCATGATGGTATCATGACAGGGAAGGGAGAGCTAACGATGCTGGACAGAGAAGGTGTGAATGTATACTGCTGTCCAGCCCACACGAATGCGCATGGATTCTCATCCTGTTCTCTAAGGGGAATAGACAAGACCTCAGCATCTGTATCAGTGGTGCACTGTGCACCTGCGCCCACAGCACTCTGTCTCAGGAGATCCCCATCTGGCGCAGATATTACAAATGCCACTATTGCCCATCTGGATCTGTACAAGTCTGGTTCATCTTCCAGGATCATTCAACTATTGTGAAGAACAGTCCAGTAAACTGAAAACGAGGACCCCGGAAGTTATCACTAGTACTGCAGGAGAGGAGAGAACTTTCTCAGAGGCCACAGTCCTGTTGAAATCCCTCTGCTCCTTGGGAAAATAAAAACAGCCCAGAAAAGGCCCCAAAGGGGCTGCATCTCATCTGAGTTCCTGAATGATGCATACCCTCTTACTGTGCTGAGATTTGACAGAAGCTGGGGTTGAAGTGCAAACATCATCTTTGGTTTACCCCTGGATTTCTTTTTTAAAAAAATATTTATTATTATTTTTTGAGACTAGAGTTTTGCTATTGTTGCCCAGGCTGGAGTGCACTGGTGCAATCTTGGCTCACTGCAACCTGCCCCTCCCACGTTCAAGCATTCTCCTGCCTCAGCCTTCGGCGTAGCTGGGATTACAAGTGCCTGCCACCACACCTGGCTATTTTTTTTTTAGTAGAGACGGGGTTTTACCACATTGCCAGTCTGGTCTCAAACTCTTGGCCTCAGGTGATCCGCCCATATCGGCCTGCCAAAGTGCTAGGGTTACAGGTGTGAGGCACCACGCCCAGATGGGATTTTCTTTTTAATTCAATTGTGTGAATTGTCATTTTGTCCACAATGTCTAAAGTTTCTACAGTAGCTGTCTAATAGATACAGAGGTTCTGTTTGGGCTGATGAAAAAGCTCTCAGGTTGGATAGTGGAGATGTTTGCACAACATTTTTACTGTACTTACTGCACTTAATTAGACACTTTAAAATGCTTAAAAAGATAAAACATTATGTTATCTGTATTTTACCAAAGTAAAAATGTTGCA